ATTACAGTATGGAATTCACAACTAAATGTTAAATGTATAACTTTATGAGCTGGGGTGTCTGTCCTGCAAATAGTTTAGGTCAAAGACTTTATAAAAATTTTCGCAATGCGCTCACTAGCATTTAGTTATCATTTTTTGTATTGCTAACCTTTGGATTACAGAGACTGTGGGGTTAGAAAATAGCGCTCCTTATGTTCAGTGCCGATATGACCGTATATCCCAGGATGGCACAAGGTCGGTATGAAGGTATGACAATCTGGATACCGACCAAGCCTAGCTCCAGTATGTGACTCGTTTCAGGAAACTAGGAGTATGTTGCACGTCACTACTTCACAGGAGAGGCATTTGAACCGTAAACATTACTTTTTTTTATCAAAATGCGTTTTTTGGCAGAAATGCTTTCTGGAACATGTGAACTTTCCCGTGTCTTATTAACAAACTCTTATGCCATCTGTAAATACAATTGTTAAATTACGAGACTAGTTGGTTTAGCCACGGAAAAAGATAGGAACCTTCCCGCTAGCAATGATTGGCTGAGATAATGGATGGGCTGGACATGCCGGGAGATGAGTTCCGATTGGTCTGCCATGTAGCATGCTTCTGTCTATAGCATGAGCTGCTCAGTACGTGTAGGTAATCCTTTCTAACGCAGCTTTTTTTTAAAGAAAGTCGTTTTCATTGCAAGTTAAAGCGTACTGTTAGCTGGCTGGCTCGCTAGCTAACATTACATGTATGATCTGTGTAGTAATATTATCATCATCTCAGAAACCATTTGCATTGCTAGTTATAGTCTAATGTTAGCTAGCTAGCTAACATTGAACCTAGTTGGTTAGCTTTTGCTACCTGCAGATTCATACTTGGTAGTAACGTTATGAGTTGGGATTATGGTTAATTGTTTAGCTAGCTATGTCTAAACAAAGACTCCACTATGCAAGTAACCATTTCACTTTACACCTTCTGTATCCTGTGCATGTGACAAATAAACTTTATTTTTATTTTTTATATAGTGTGTGTTTACCAGAGACAGTAATGTGAAGAACAGTCAAATTAGGATATAACGTTAGGCCAACGAGACCGTGTCCAAGTTCTAAAATTCTCAGGTAGAATGCCCTGCTTTTATTTTGGCACACTCACAACCGTAAGCTATTTTCTGTAATTAACTTGTAAATAATGATCTTGTTGTGAGTTTATTTTCCTATAATAATGATATTTTCTTTGCTAAAGTTAAGACGTTGTCAGTTATGATATGGTCATTATTTGAACTGGCTAGCCAGCTAACTTAACGTTAGCAAGCAAGCAAGCTAGAAACGAACCAAAACATTGTTTAGAAAGTTGCTTTTAGTTGCCTGGTTTGCTAGATTGATATATACTACATTCATTTTTAAACGGATGGGTTTATTGGTGTTAAAATACACCAGATATGCCATTTTGGACCACCAGGCTGCTGATGTCATGCAGCCTGTCTTTTTTGTGTTTATACTTTTTCATAACGACAACGACAAGTTTGATGTCGGACAACAATAGAATGTTCATGATGTCACTGCGACAACTGTCTACAAACATGTCGATAGATGTAGTATAAACCAGACTTTAGTCTTGAAATCTTTGGTTGTTTAGTACACTACCGTACTCACTCTGTTTAGCACATGGCCTCACATGTGAATCCTTAAAGAGATGGGTGGGGCTAAGGCTTATGAGGGTGAGGTTGAGGGTAGAGGAAGTTCAGGAGTAAAAACAAACAAAATACAATTATTGTAAAATTGTCCATAAAATGTATATAGTATGTATAAGCTGGAAGTAGAAGCCTAAGCATTGTTGTTCACTAGTTTACTCCAATTAGTGAAGGAGTGGTGGGGTTGGAAAGTAATAAGAGGGTGGGGGGGGGGGGAGGCTTAAGAGGGTGTGAACGATGCTGAATGGGCGTAGACAAAGAAGAGCTCTCCTGTAGCTGTAACAAAACATTCAAGGGCCATTTTCTCAAAAGTGGGGTTACAAGTTTATTAACTCAAAGCAGAATTACCTCCCCATTTTTCCTCAACTCTAGTGTATGGTGTAACATTTTCTAGCTCTGTCCCTACTTTTATCCAATGTAAAAAAACACCATTTCAAATTTTGCTACATAAGACCGAATCGAGCCAGTCGGTCACAAATGGACCACGAGTGTGTGAACGACGAGTGTGTGAATGGAATCTCCATTGCGATCTACAGGTCCGACTGTCTGGCCTAACGGGATGGGGTAGCAGAAAGACCAGCTGATTGACGTCAGCAGTAGTTCTTGGTTGATCTGGTCAAGGGGATTAAGCAGGATCCCAGTGACCAGTTTGGCCCCTCTAGGGAGTCTTTCCGGGAACACTGGTCAGGGCCTAGACGGCTAATATGGTTGGGGCATGGAGAATGTGTTCGTATCTGTGGGACAATTAATAATATATGAACACTACTATGCTATTCAATTGGAGGAGAAAGGACATAAGACAAACCTGTCAACATACAGTCCTAGTAGTTTTAATATTGGTAGAGCATTACATTTACATTTAAATCATTTAGCAGACGCTCTTATCCAGAGCGACTTACAGTTAGTGAGTGCATACATTATTATTTTATTTCTGGCCCCCGTGGGAATCGAACCCACAACCCTGGCGTTGCAAATGCCATGCTCTACCAACTGAGCTACATCCCTGCTGGCCATTCCCTCCCCTACCCTGGACGACGCTGGGCCAATTGTGCGCCGCCCCATGGGTCTCCCAGTCGCGGCCGACAACGACAGAGCCTGTGTGTATCAAGAATGGTCCACCACCCAAAGGACATCCAGCCAACTTGACACAACTGTGGGAAGCATTTTAGTCAACATGAGCCAGCATCCCTATGGAACGCTTTTGACACCTTGTAGATTCCATGCCGCGACAAATTGAGGCTGTTGTGAGTGCAAAAGGGGGTGCAACTCAATATTAGGAAGCTGTCCCTAATGTTTTGTACACTCAGTGTATAATTCAATAGAAGAAAACAGAGAGAGAGAAGGAGAGAGAGAAACTGCCAGTTCCTTAAAGTTTTGGATCAGTGCATTCGGAAACCTGGCACTATCACTACGGTGAAGCATGGTGGTGGCAGCAACATATGGTGGGGATGTTTTTCAGCGGCAGGGACTGGGAGACTAGTCAGGATCAAGGGAAAGATGAACAGAGGAAAGAACAGAGAGATCCTTGATGAAATCCTGCTCCAGAGCGCTCAGGACCTCAGACTGTGGCGAAGGTTCACCTTCCAACAGGACAACGACCCTAAGCACACAGCCAAGACAACGCAGGAGTGGCTTCGGGACAAGTCTCTGAATGACCTTGAGTGGCCCAGCCATAGCCTGGACTTGAACCCGATCGAACATCTCTGGAGAGACCTGAAAATAGCTGTGCAGCAACGCTCCCCATCCAACCTGACAGAGCTTGAGAGGATCTGCAGAGAAGAATGGGAAAAACTGCCCAAATACAGGTGTGCCAAGCTTCTAGCGTCATACCCAATAATATTCTAGGCTGTAATCGCTGCCAAAGGTGCTTCAACAAAGTACTGAGTAAAGGGGCTTTTTTTTTTTTTGACATTTGCACAAATTTATAAAAACCTGTTTTTGCTTTGCTATTATAGGGTATTGTGTGTAGACTGATGAGGAAAACATTTAACTTAATCAATTTTAGAATAAGGCAGTAACGTAACAAAATGTGGAAAAAGTCAAGGGGTCTGAATACTTTCCGAATGCAGGGACTAGTTGATGTGGATGCGGATAGATCTCCAGCATTGTACTTCGTTTGACAGTGCTGTATCTTTCTGCCAAGAAGTGACAGGCCTTTCAGCTAAATAAATAGGCGTGAAATAGGCAGGCTTTTCCAGCCTAGAGTGGTGGTGGCTATGTACCTATGTACCAGTCGGTGGCTATGTACCAGTCGGTCACATATGGACCACGAGTGTGTGAACGACGAGTGTGTGAATGGAATCTCCATTGCGATCTACAGGTCCGACTGTCTGGCCTAACGGGATGGGGTAGCAGAAAGACCAGCTGATTGACGTCAGCAGTAGTTCTTGGTTGATCTGGTCAAGGGGATTAAGCAGGATCCCAGTGACCAGTTTGGCCCCTCTAGGGAGTCTTTCCGGGAACACTGGTCAGGGCCTAGACGGCTAATATGGTTGGGGCATGGAGAATGTGTTCGTATCTGTGGGACAATTAATAATATATGAACACTACTATGCTATTCAATTGGAGGAGAAAGGACATAAGACAAACCTGTCAACATACAGTCCTAGTAGTTTTAATATTGGTAGAGCATTACATTTACCTTTAAATCATTTAGCAGACGCTCTTATCCAGAGCGACTTACAGTTAGTGAGTGCATACATTATTATTTTATTTCTGGCCCCCCGTGGGAATCGAACCCACAACCCTGGCGTTGCAAACGCCATGCTCTACCAACTGAGCTACATCCCTGCCGGCCATTCCCTCCCCTACCCTGGACGACGCTGGGCCGCCCCGTGGGTCTCCCGTTCGCGGCCGGCTACGACAGAGCCTGGATTCACTGCGATGCAGAGCCTTAGACCACTGCGCCACTCGGGAGCCTAGCTCTATCTCAACTAGAGTAAATCATTGTAGTTTCCTCCGCTTATCAATATGTCTTGCACATATAAAATGTGTGGGTCCTTAGAACTATAAAAGGCAGGGTTCTTCCCAACGAATGTAAGAGGGGCGCTGCGTTCGCGCCGCCATATAGACGCTTTTATCCAAAGCAACTTACAGGTATGCGTGCATACATTTTTACGAATGGGTGGCCCCGAGAATCAAACCCACAACGCTGGCGGTGCAAGAGCCATGCTCTACCAACTGCGCCATACAGGACCCACTGTTTTTACTTAATGAAAAACAACCAAAACTTGTGCTTTTGAAACGACTGATGAAAAACAAAATTTGCTTTTGAACAACCGAGAGGAAAAAGTGATGTTTTTCCATCTAACTAAGTCATCCATCTTACCGTAGAGTGTTTCCAGTACAGGATGATCTCCGGAATGTTATCTGCAGGGTGCAGCAGGTGGTAGTCTCTCCACTCGTTCCAGTCGATGGTCATCGTGCCGTTCTTGTCCATGCTGTTGACAGAGAAAACAGAAAAGACCAGAACCATTACAAAATAGCTTTTCACAGCGCGTCTTCTCTGTTGTTTCACCAGACCGTCTATGTGTGGGCGTGTGCCTGAATTCACAGTCAGTAAGCTCACACATGCACAACTTTTTGAAATAAATGATAAATGCTTTTAAGTGCTGCTTTTTTCCTTTCCAAATGTAAGCATGCCATTGGCATTTTGTGTATTGGGATCTCTTTCAGTAATCTTCTTAATTTTGGCTTTTTACAAGCAATTAAAGGGCTGCAGGTTTTTGCGGTGGCTTTCTTTGTAACAATGAAAATAAAACTTGAGGAGGAGAGGGCAGAAACATAAAGAAAGTGAAATACGAAGCGAAGACGATGATGCGCATTTGTGAGGCAGGGCAAGCAGACGGAGAGGATTCCATTACTTACTACATGATAGGGGCCCAGACAAGGCCCTTCCTTATTCTGAGACCAGCAAGAGGGTGAAAGAGAGGGGTAGAGAAAGGAGAGGGGAGGCACAGAAAGGGGGAGGGCAGGGACATGCATATACACACACATTAGAACTACAAAGAACGAGGGGGGCTCTGGTGGTGATGTCATAATGCTCACCCTAACTAACGCCTGAGGAAGAATCTTTCAAATGGATGGAATAAAACCAATTACTCTTAGTGATTTCATGATATCCATATTGGACGTGGTGAAAAATGGCTTAATATGTAACATACAAGAGAAATAGATCTACTTCCGGGTAATTAAAACAACTTCACTTCAGTCAGAGAAGGAAAGACGCTACGTTTATCTCAACTAGAGTAAATCATTGTAGTTTCCTCCGCTTATCAATATGTCTTGCACATATAAAATGTGTGGGTCTTTAGAACTATAAAAGGCATTTCTGACTCACATTCCCAGTGGGTCAGAAGTTTACATACACTCAATTAGTATTTGGTAGCATTGCCTTTAAATTGTTTAACTTGGGTCAAACGTTTCGGGTAGCCTTCCTCAAGCTTCCCACAATAAGTTGGGTGAATTTTGGCCCATTCCTCCTGACAGAGCTGGTGTAACTGAGTCAGGTTTGTAGGCCTCCTTGCTCACACACGCTTTTTCAGTCCTGCCCACAAATGTTCTATAGGATTGAGGTCAGGGCTTTGTGATGGCCACTCCAATACCTTGACTTTGTTGTCCTTAAGCCATTTTGCCACAACTTTGGAAGTATGCTTGGGGTCATTGTTCATTTGGAAGACCCATTTGCGACCAAGCTTTAACTTCCTGACTGATGTCTTGAGATGTTGCTTCAATATATCTACATAATTTTCCTTCCTCATGATGCCATCTATTTTGTGAAGTGAACCAGTCCCTCCTGCAGCAAAGCACCCCCACAGCATGATGCTGCCACCCCCGTGCTTCACGGTTGGGATGGTGTTCTTCGGCTTGCAAGCAACCCCCTTTTTCCTCCAAACATAACGATGGTCATTATGGTCAAACAGTTATATTTTTGTTTCATCAGACCAGAGGACATTTCTCCAAAAAGTACGATCATTGTCCCCATGTGCAGTTGCAAACCGCAGTCTGGCTTTTTTATGGTGCTTCTTCCTTGCTGAGCAGCCTTTCAGGTTATGTTGATATAGGACTCGTTTTACTGTGGATATAGATACTTTTGTACCTGTTTCCTTTGCTGTTGTTCTGGGATTGATTTGCACTTTTCGAACCATAGTACGTTAATCTCTGGGAGACAGAACGCGTCTCCTTCCTGAGCAGTATGACGGCTGCGTGGTCCCATGGTGTTTATACTTGCATACTATTGTTTGTACAGATGAACGTGGTACCTTCAGGCATTTGGAAATTTCTCCCAAGGATGAACCAGACTTGTGGAGGTCTACTATGTTTTTTCTGAGGTCTTGGCTGATTTATTTTGATTTTCCCATGATGTCAAGCAAAGAGGCACTGAGTTTGAAGGTAGGCCTTGAAATACATCCACAGGTACACTTCCAATTGACTCAAACGATGTCAATTAGCCTATCAGAAGCTTCTAAAGCCATGACATCATTTTCTTAAATGGAAGAAGTTTGGAACCACCAAAACTCTTCCTAGAGCTGGCTGCCCGGCCAAACTGAACAATCGGGAGAGAAGGGCCTTGGTCAGGGAGGTGACCAAGAACCCGATGGTCACTCTGACAGAGCTCTAGAGTTCCTCTGTGGAGATGGGAGAACCTTCCAGAAGGACAACCATCTCTGCAGCACTCCACCAATCAGGCCTTTATGGTAGAGTGGCCAGACAGAAGCCACTCCTCAGTAAAAGGCACATGATAGCCCGCTTGGAGTTTGCCAAAAGGCACCTAAAGACTCTCAGACCATGAGAAACAAGATTCTCTGGTCTGATGAAACCAAGATTGAACTCTTTGGCCTGAATGGCAAGCGTCACATCTGGAGGAAACCTGGCACCATCCCTACAGTGAAGCATGTTGGTGGCAGAATCATGCTGTGGGGATGTTTTTCAGTGGCAGGGACTGGGAGACAAGTCAGGATCGAGGGAAAGATTAACAGAGCAAAGTACAGAGAGATCCTTGATGAAAACCTGCTACAGAGTGCTCAGGACATTTACATTTTAGTCATTTAGCAGACGCTCTTATCCAGAGCGACTTACAGGACCTTAGACTGGGGCGAAGGTTCACCTTCCAACTGGACAACGACCCTAAGCACACGGCCAAGACAACACAGGAGTGGCTTCGGGATAAGTCTCTGAATGTCCTTGAGTGGCCCAGCCAGAGCCCGGACTTAAACCTGATCGAACATCGCTGAAGAGACCAGAAAATTGCTGTGCAGCAACGCTTCCCATCCAATCTGACAGAGTTTGAGAGGATCTGCAGAGAAGAATGGGAGAAACTCCCCAAATACAGGAGTGCCAAGCTTGTAGCGTCATACCCAAGAAGACTCAAGGTTGTAATCGCTGCCAAAGGTGCTTCAGCAAAGTACTGAGTAAAGGGTCTGAATACTTATGTAAATGTAATATTTCTGTTTTTTACTTTTAAGAAATTATAAAATATGTCTAAAAACCTGTTTTTGCTTTGTCATTATGGGGTATGGTGTGTAGATTGATGAGGGGGAAAAAACAATTTAATCCATTTTAGAATAAGGCTGTAACCTAACAAAATGTGGAAAAAGTCAAGGGGTCTGAATAATAATAATAATAATAATAATAATAATAATAATGTCATTTAGCAGACGCTTTTATCCAAAGCGACTCACAGTCATGCGTGCATACATTTTTTTGTGTACGGGTGGTCCCGGGGATCGAACCCACTACCTTGGCGTTACAAGCCGTGCTCTACCAGCTGAGCTACAGAGGACCACGAATACTTTCCGAAGGCACTGTGTATATGTGTGTGTGTGTGTATATATATATATATATATATATATATATATATATATATATATATATATATATATATAGATAGCATTTATTTTCTCTCGATTGCAGGAAATGGCAGTTACAGGTGTTAAAAAACTCAAAAATCTTTGAGTCCAAAGGGGGTCATTGCCCTCCTCCAGCCTCTCCCGCCGTCGTACTCAGCAGCACCACCTTGTTAAAAAATCCTGGGGAGCATCCTGAAAGGCCAAGCCTCAGAAAAGCCATCAGGTAAGACAGTATAGGACTGGAGTGGCAGCTCTGACCAGGGCTAGCAGGGTGATTGAGGGAAACACCAATACTTCTGTGGAATGTTCTGGTGGACTCGGGTTACCCAGTCGACCCAGGCAGTGGTAAATAGACGACACTGACTGCGATCAGACAAGACCGGTTAGCCAGTCGGGAATTAAAGATTAAATAGAGAAAAAGAGAGAGGAGAGATGAACTCTCCCCCGAGGATCTTTGACCGAAGATTACGCAATACAACAGCAGTAGTGTTGAACCTGCATACATGATAATATGTCCTATTATTATTATTACTACTGAAATGAACTGGATTTCATTATCCTCTTTGCATTGTCCTGTATTTACTGAAATGCTGTACCACTATACTGCTTTGGCAATATCTACAAATTGTATTTCATGCCAATAAAGCTATCTGAATTTGAATTTGAGAGGAGAGAGAAGTAGAGATGGTCAGAGACAAAATGCATGCTGGACTGATAAACACAGACACTACGAGCCATTAGTTTAGACGGGAGTTTTGGTGAGACGGGAGACTCGTCAGCCCAGGTTGACAGCCTCACCTTTTGAGGATCTTCTCAGCCTGCTGCTCGGAGATATTAACCCCCAGGTCTCGAAGGGACTGCATGATTTCCTGCGAGTCAATGTGACCTGTGGGGCAAAAGAGTAAACATCAACATCGGCCACTCGCAATGGGCTTGAATTATGATGACATCATCTCATTGACCGGATATTATATCACTAAGCTTTGAATATCAGCTTATAGAATAGTACATAAAATGTAACAGATCTGAATGCAGAATTTCCTCAGGTACAGTATGTCATTATGTATGCACAGCTTCCCCCCACCTGCCCAAGTGATTAGTACGTTATAGCACTTCGAAGGCTAAACATTGGTTTAAGTGTAACTGGTAGTGATACAAGTAAACACATGCAGTGGTTGTGTGGCTCCAGCCTATGGGGCTCCTCTCTGTGTTCCAATCGTACCATCGTTCTTCTTGTCCAGGCTCTTGAAGACCAGCCGGAGCTTCTTCTCGTGGTCTCTCAGGTAGTGGACAAACTCCTCAAAGTCCAGCTGGCCGTCCAGGTCCTTGTCTCCTGCTTTCACTATTTTCTGTCAGAAGAGAAAGAGAGGCATTTTACATTTAGATAAGGATTAAATATCAACGTACATACAGGTTGAAGACAAGAGAGGTGAGTCAAGGATACAACTGTTTTAAAAAAGAAATTGAGGATTCTCAAGGCTAGGGGAAATTATAGCCTACGTTTAGTTAAAACTATGACAAAAGGTGAGCCACGAGAAAGAGATGGAAGGAGTGATTTGAGGACAGGAGTGTAGGTCAGTGAGAGGAAGGTGATCTGGGTCTTGTTTGCTCCAGAGTGGTCATATAGTGGGTATCACCTGATCCACCTGCTCCATTAGTGTGGAGCGTTTAGACCATCACAGACACGTTGAACTCAAACTCAGGCCTGGCGGAAGGAGCACACAGGCTGTCCGAGCCATTGAGCTGAAGGCATTGAGAAATGGATGTGGAGCTGAGTGCCTTGTGCATTTCAATCATTAACCCCTACCCCAATGGGCTCTGGGCCAAGAAAGAGCCTTTATTAAAAAGGTAGAGCTAAACCTGGGAGTTGTGCTCAGAGATTTGAGTATTGCATCTTGTACAGTCAATGTTGACTCACATAAGGAACTTTGGGTGAGGAGTTTATGAGTGGGTCTGGGCCAGCTGAATCTATGAGGACTGACTCACAGGGGTGTGCGCGTGCTTGTGTGCATAAACATGACTTAGGGGTGTGTGTGTACGGTTCTGAGAGTTTCCAGCAATATCTGAACTACTGACCTTTGGGGGACGTGTTAGGTGAAAGAATAACCCTTCGTTAACTGAGTGTAACTCCTTATGTTAACCTAAACGCCTATTACATCAGGTTTATAGAGTAGACTACCCAAATACTTGCCCAATCTATTCTATATATTCTAGGACTATTGTGTTTCTAACCGTCAAGACCCTTTTTAACTCCTACCTAGCCTCTGCCGAGTCCCCAACAACCGGATGCATCCGGTTTTCAGGGGAAATGGAAAGAGAGCCTGTGACGCAAATTCTGCTTTTGGACGTTAACAAGGCGACACTCTATCTTAACTCCTCCTCCACATTTACTGGATTGGTTGAACAGTGCAGAAGAGAACCTCCAGTTTTTCCCCCCTTCTGGTCAAGACCAGTATGTAGGGGGATCTAGTTTCAGGCGTTTCTTTTACGCATGCTAAGTTTGGTTAACTCCTACCCAACAGGAGGACCCTGAGAGTCAGTCATTTCCTGAGAAGTGTGTGTACTACTGTGTGTGTGTGTGTGTGTGTGTGTGTGTGTGTCTCTCCTCCTTATGATTCAATAAATAGAACAAATCTCAGGTCTTCTTGAGCAGTTAGCTGATGGCCAGTAGTGGCTGCTGGGTAAAACAAGGCCAACAGGTTAAGATAGATCTTCTTTCACTGCCTTAATGCCTCGTGCTGCGCTAGAGTGCGTGTGAAGTTCTTTAAGCCGGACACTGGACACTAACCTGCCTACCAACAGTCCTACTTTTGGGGACAACTGGGCCATCACTGGGGGAGGGGGAAAAAGGTTCCCTTGTTTAAGTGTCCTTCCCTCTACAAACTAAGCATGATTCACCTGTCTTCATAAAGATGGGATGCATTTTAGATATACAGTTAGGTCCAAAATTATTGGCACCCTTGATAAAGATGAGCTATATTGTATACTCAAAATTGGAAAATTATATTATTTTATACTAATACAATTGCTCAGAGAAAGATACTTTGTTTAAGAAGTAATTCTTCTCTCAAAAAGATAACCCAACCCCTCTGAATTAGACAGGTGCGGGGGGCTGCCTTAATCGACATCCATATGGGATGTCATCAATACCTCACCTTTTATAACGGCACTGAGCCTTTTTCTAAAATGTTTTATGAGATTGTTTTAAAAAAGAAATTGAGGATTCTCAAGGCTAGGGGAAATTATAGCCTACGTGTAGTTAAAACTATGACAAAAGGTGAGCCACGAGAAAGAGATGGAAGGAGTGATTTGAGGACAGGAGTGTAGGTCAGTGAGAGGAAGGTGATCTGGGTCTTGTTTGCTCCAGAGTGGTCATATAGTGGGTATCACCTGATCCACCTGCTCCATTAGTGTGGAGCGTTTAGACCATCACAGACACGTTGAACTCAAACTCAGGCCTGGCGGAAGGAGCACACAGGCTGTCCGAGCCATTGAGCTGAAGGCATTGAGAAATGGATGTGGAGCTGAGTGCCTTGTGCATTTCAATCATTAACCCCTACCCCAATGGGCTCTGGGCCAAGAAAGAGCCTTTATTAAAAAGGTAGAGCTAAACCTGGGAGTTGTGCTCAGAGATTTGAGTATTGCATCTTGTACAGTCAATGTTGACTCACAGTTATGAACTTTGGGTGAGGAGTTTATGAGTGGGTCTGGGCCAGCTGAATCTATGAGGACTGACTCACAGGGGTGTGCGCGCGCTTGTGTGCATGAACATGACTGTAGGGGTGTGTGTGTACGGTTCTGAGAGTTTCCAGCAATATCTGAACTACTGACCATTGGGGGACGTGTTAGGTGAAAGAATAACCCTTCGTTAACTGAGTGTAACTCCTTATGTTAACCTAAACGCCTATTACATCAGGTTTATAGAGTAGACTACCCAAATACTTGCCCTCTGAATTAGACAGGTGCGGGGGGCTGCCTTAATCGACATCCATATGGGATGTCATCAATACCTCACCTTTTATAACGGCACTGAGCCTTTTTCTAAAATGTTTTATGAGATTGGAAAACACGTTTGGAAGGATCTTCGACCAGGGTTTCCCAAACTCGATCCTGCTTAATTAAATTTGTGGTCAATTAAGCATTTCTTTGTGGATTTTGATGTGTGCTTGGGGAAGATCATGCTGGAAGATCAATTTGCTGCCAAGTTTAAGCCTCCTGGCAGAGGCAACCAGGTTTTTGGCTAAAATGTCCTGGGTAATGTTCATGATGCCGTTGACCTTAACAAGGGCCCCAGGACCAGTGAATATAGTGCAAAATAGTGGATCTTCCAGCAAGACAATAACCCCAAGCACCAATCAAAATCCACAAAAATAAGCTTAAATTGACCACAAAAATCAACATTTTGCAATGGCCATCTCAGTCTCTTGACTTGAACCCCATTGAAAACCTGTGGTTTGAATTGAAGAGGGCAGTCCATAAATGTAGACGAAGGATATCAAGGATCTGGAAAGATTATTTATGGAAGAATGGTGTAAGATCCCTCCCAATGTGTTCTCCAATCTCATAAAACATTTTAGAAAAAGGCTCAGTGCCGTTATCCTCGCAAGGTGAGGTATTGAAAACAGGGGTGCCAATAATTTTGACTCCCATCTTAAAAAACAAAACAAACCTTACTTGTTAAGCAAAATATATTTTGAGCATACAATATAGCTCAGTATTTGTATTATTTATTTGACACAGTATTTCTTGCTCATCTTTATTAAGGGTGCCAATAATTTTGGACCAGACTGTATTTTTAGAGCATACGGTTTTATACCATATTGAACAGTCTGTTGTTGGCAGCAAAAAGGTGGGAAAGAGTGGATTATAGTGCCAAGTGGAAGTTGACTGCCATAAACTAAATCAGGTGACAGCAATTTGAGTATAATATTACAGTGGGGGAAAAAAGTATTTAGTCAGCCACCAATTGTGCAAGTTCTCCCACTTAAAAAGATGAGAGAGGCCTGTAATTTTCATCATAGGTACACGTCAACTATGACAGACAAAATGAGAAAACAATATCCAGAAAATCACATTGTAGGATTTTTTATGAATTTATTTGCAAATTATGGTGGAAAATAAGTATTTGGTCAATAACAAAAGTTTCTCAATACTTTGTTATATACCCTTTGTTGGCAATGACACAGGTCAAACGTTTTCTGTAAGTCTTCACAAGGTTTTCACACACTGTTGCTGGTATTTTGGCCCATTCCTCCATGCAGATCTCCTCTAGAGCAGTGATGTTTTGGGGCTGTCGCTGGGCAACACAGACTTTCAACTCCCTCCAAAGATTTTCTATGGGGTTGAGATCTGGAGACTGGCTAGGCTACTCCAGGACCTTGAAATGCTTCTTACAAAGCCACTCCTTCGTTGCTCGGGCGGTGTGTTTGGGATCATTGTCATGCTGAAAGACCCAGCCACGTTTCATCTTCAATGCCCCTGCTGATGGAAGGAGGTTTTCACTCAAAATCTCACGATACATGGCCCCATTCATTCTTTCCTTTACACGGATCAGTCGTCCTGGTCCCTTTGCAGAAAAACAGCCCCAAAGCATGATGTTTCCACCCCCATGCTTCACAGTAGGTATGGTGTTCATTGGATGAAACTCAGCATTCTTTGTCCTCCAAACACGACGAGTTGAGTTTTTACCAAAAAGTTATATTTTGGTTTCATCTGACCATATGACATTCTCCCAATCCTCTTCTGGATCATCCAAATTTACTCTAGCAAACTTCAGACGGGCCTGGACATGTACTGGCTTAAGCAGGGGGACACGTCTGGCACTGCAGGATTTGAGTCCCTGGCAGCGTAGTGTGTTACTGATGGTAGGCTTTGTTACTTTGGTCCCAACTCTCTGCAGGTCATTCACTAGGTCCCCCCGTGTGGTTCTGGGATTTTTGCTCACCGTTCTTGTGATCATTTTGACCCCACGGGGTGAGATCTTGCGTGGAGCCCCAGATCGAGGGAGATTATCAGTGGTCTTGTATGTCTTCCATTTCCTAATAATTGCTCCCACAGTTGATTTCTTCAAACCAAGCTGCTTACCTATTGCAGATTCAGTCTTCCCAGCCTGGTGCAGGTCTACAATTTTGTTTCTGGTGTCCTTTGACAGCTCTTTGGTCTTGGCCATAGTGGAGTTTGGAGTGTGACTGTTTGAGGTTGTGGACAGGTGTCTTTTATACTGATAACAAGTTCAAACAGGTGCCATTAATACAGGTAACAAGTGGAGGACATAGGAGCCTCTTAAATAAGAAGTTACAGGTCTGTGAGAGCCAGAAATCTTGCTTGTTTGTAGGTGACCAAATACTTA